GTGCACGCGATTCAAGTTTTTGTAAAGAATTTGTACCAGTAGTAAATATTTGAACAAGCAATGGAACTGGTATATATATATCGATTAAACATAAAATTTGTAACCATTGTAAAGCTTGTTCTTGAACACTAGCTGGTGCAGGAGATTGAAAACGATCGGTAATAAAATGATATAATTGATCACGTGTTAACGATGATGGAGACATATCAGGATCTGGATCGAACATTTTTCTATTTTGTTAAAAAATATTACAAGAAATTTACAAATAAAATGAAAAAAGTTAATTACCGAAAAAGTAAATTTAAGTTAGTTAAATCATTTTCTGGTACTTCTAATCGAATTGATTCCATCCAATAAGGCATTATATAGTCCCAGATCTATAGAGAAAAGAAATTTCATTATTAAAATTCAATGTGAGAATGAGTCCAGCATCAAATCAAAACATTTGTGGTCTACTTGTAGTCCTTTGTTGATGACAAAAACTTTTACAAATTATCATCAAAAAACTAATTTTAAATAGGCCTGATTTTTTACCACAAAATAGAATATAGCGAACTATATTTAGCAAAATGACTATTGTAATAAGATATATTACTAGTATGTAAATGAAAACTAGAAGTCATCTCAATGAACAATGTATTTTGAAGAAATACTAGAGTCTTCTGAGAAAATAATGATAATACTACTTTTCGAAGTTCAAATTGAACGCCCGTATAAAGACAGTCCTTCAAGAAGTATATTCTTTCATAAAAGTTTCACGTCTTTTGATTAATTCTACTCTGAAATAAGAATCTCAAATCTACCATCACACATGAACGATGTAAACGGAACACTTTTATCATCGCTATAGTCTAGAATATTCACAAATAACAATACTCACTAGGTACTGTTGTTCGATAATGTTTAAAAAGCAAAAGAGAAAAGGAACCTGCTTGATGTTAACAAGACAACTGTACAACTGTATTTTTTCGGGTTATTCATAAGAAACATAATCTGGATTTAAAAAGTGATTTATCACTTACGAGACTGCTATCATAGGATATTTTTTTTTAATATCGAAGACCGAAATGATAAACTTACTTCATATGTAATAATGCCATCTGGCATTAAATCATATAATTTATTAAGACATTCAATAACTTGTGTTGTTCGATTCGCCATGGTTTCCCTAGAAATTCATAGATTTTTCAATAGTTAAAAGATTTATTAGATGCATTCTTTAGTTTTATTTACCAAATACCACCAACTTTTGCATATTCCACTGGATGTGGAAGAAGTAAAGCAATAACTAATTCATGATGCTCTTTCACAACTGATTTAAGCCACGGTATAACATACTAACGAAATAAATAAGTAAATTAAACATTAATACAAATCCTTTATTTTCGTCTTACTTCAGATTTTAATTTGCCTAAAACACTTCCAATTTCATTTCCTGGTAAACGAACCGTTGAATGAAACCAAAGAAATAACATGCTTAAAATACGTCCAAACATTTCCTAAGAAAAAATACGAAGAAAAAACAAATTTTTATAATTGAAAAGATAAAAGAAAATGCTCGTACAGGTGGTCCATATGATGTTGGTTCAATAAGACCCAAAATTAAATAGATTCCATATCGACTTAGTAATTTTCTTCCGACATCAATATCGAGACTTAAAAACATGGTTGCTGTATTATCAATATTTTCTGCTAAAATAGATTTTTTTTCATCGCTCATTGAATCAACAATACGTTTTTCTTCGTTGTTATCTGTTTCACGTAACAAACTAATTATAGCTTCGACACAATGATTTTGTACGTCAGGTGATAAACGCCACATATCGATTAATGTTTCTTGATAGACATGATTTGAATCAATATGTCGTCTTTCATGACATTGGCGACATAAACTTATAGGATGATTACCATTTGATAAACAACAGTCAATTGAATAGCAAACAGCATGAGTGATCTTTTTATCTGAGATACATAGCTAGAGAAATTAAAAAGAGAGAAAAAATGTTTCATCTTTTTTGTTCTTTTATTACAAATCTTACTTTATTTTGACAGTGTAGAGAAATTTCTGATACAGGACAAAGAATATTACGACAAAATTGTTGCACATCTTTCGAAGAGCTTTTATAACAATCAGTACACATGTAAAGTGGTGGTGGCATATTTTCACCATACTTTGATAAAAGAATATTAACGCAAACTTTTGATGCAATATTTTGCCTGTGGGTACATCTGCCTGTTTGACATATTATTGGTTTTCGAGCTAAATCAATTCAAGTATTTTGATTATGATACGAGGAGTCAAGAAAACCAAAAAATGATAAATCCTTACGACTAAATTTAAAATGTACTGAACGTCGATCGATTCCAGTCGGATTAAGCATAGGCCAATAGAAAAAAAGTAAATTCGATGCGACAGCTCTTGCTGATGCAGCTCCATGTGCAATAACAAATAGAATATCCTACGAATTGAATTGGAATGTCTTGACAAAGAATTTTATTTTAAAAAATATGAATATTTGCATATAATTATATTTAACATGCATGAACAAGACAATATTTATGTGGTTCTAACGTTAAATATTTATTGAAGTCGAAAATCTCTATTTTAGACAAGCATCATGATAGTCAATGAGAAATATTTTGCCAAGATCCTATAAGACATATTCTTGACGAGACACTCAGCTTGTTGATATACATGTGAATTACTCATGAAGGTAGTAATAAACTATTGTCAAAATAGATAACTACTGATGATAATATTATTAATAAATTCATTATTCAATAAGCTATGATTTTCTTGTGTAAATGCTTCAATAGAAGCAAAAGAAAATAAGTAGGTCTTGATCGCAGTATTAGAAGTCTATAAGTACTCATGCTCATATACTATTGTTCTTAAACTAGTAGAATTTGACAGAACTCTTTAACTGGCGGAATAATTTTTATAAAATAGAAAATAGAAAAATTGAATTGTTACTTATCGGTTGTACTCAAAGACAAGCTATAAAGATATGCCCTTCTTATAATATCGAATATTAAAAACACCAAACTGCTATACTTTTTCTCATAACAAAATATCTTCTGTGTTACTGAATATTCAAAACACAACGAATAAAACATATATTTAAGCTGAAATTTTCGTGCAATCCCATGAGTGCAAAACTTGCTCATGAAAGAAATTCAAAATTGAAACTTCTCGATTTCATCTTTACATAAATATGATAACCATAGTGAAAATATTATGAAATTCCAATCACTTGTGAAGAATATTACAGGTGGACGAGCTCCTGTAGGATTTTACTAACCTTGTCAGGGTCGTCTTATTCGTGAAACAGTTATGTGAATAGCGATTTCTTCTAGAGAATGTCCTTTTCTCAATCAATAATTATCAATGTTACTGTGGGCTTTTATTCCATATGAACTACGCAATGGAAACGCATAGTATCCATCTAGAAATTGAATTCTAAGAACGATCATAATATGTGTGTTCTTAATAACATAAGATACTAGTAGTCAATGTTATTTGTTTTCTTGTTCTAATTAAACAGAATTGAAGCATGTCTCTATAGTTTTAAGTCTACTTCATTTCCTTCAATTTCTTGCATTCTATCAAAAGCTCATAAATACATAAAAACATACAATCAAACCGTGCGATACGAGTACAACAAAAAGCAATGGAAACATTTACTATTAAAAACTCACATAAATCAAATCCGCTTTTAAACTCAATAAACATTCCATAATTTGCGCATGATAACCTGGAAGTGAATAATCATTTTTTGACTTTATCTCTTTAGATTATTTCTTTTCGTTCAATCGTATTGTCTTCATAAAATGATTTCTACTTACTCTCATTGTCACTGTTTTCAAAAATAATAAAAAGAATCGATGCTATTGAATTTAATGTCATTGAATGTTCTGGATATTCCGTATAAGCTAAAATATTTATTAAAATGTAAATATAAAATTCATTTTAAATACTATGCCTCACCCATATTGATTGGTAAAAGTGTATTACATAGTGTATCAAGTGTTTTTTTCTGAACAGATGTTGGAAATGTAGTTAGCGTTGTCGCGAATGTATATGGTAATGCATCAAGTAATTCATAAGGTAAAAATGGTGCTAGACACGCAAGTGTATTTATAATTGATTCTGCTGGTTCTGTTTCAATTGGTTGCAATAATGGTACAACGTCGATGAGATTGATTAAAGAATGATACAGTGATGAATAATTTAATGATGGATATTTACTGATACGATAGGAATGTTTACCAGATGTTTGTTCTTGATTGTGATCAATAGTCATCTCTTTTAGTACACTAGAAGAAACAGAATTTTATTAGGTTCAACTATTGTGCTTTTGATATTTCTACCCTAGAAGAGTTAGAGTGAATTGCTTGAGAACCAATGCAATATCATATGTAGATGGTAATGGTGTAACACCGCTAACTATATTGTTATAATAATCGTTAAGAGTTCGAATCTTAGATGAGACTAAATAAAAATAAAAATAAGAAATCCAGTCATTGTAGTTTTATATGTATATTTACAGGCAGCTGCACGAGTCGCCATTCTATCTAAAGAAGATAAGAATTAATTGTTTGCCAAAAGAAAAATGATTCAAAATGAAAGATTATCTATTGATAACCTTTTCCCGAAAAAAGTCAACAATAGAAGAAAAAATAAACTAAATAATAAAAAAAAGAACCATTTAATGCGATCGATCGATTCTCCTAGGACCTCGTGCTATTATTCTAAATAGTGTCGCTAATAGTTATAGAAATGTGTTCATTTTCAAGTAGCGCTAATTTCGGAAATTGCAAATGAACTCATTCAGATTGGTTTATATTATTAGCCAACTCCATTGAAGGTCATAAAATCTATCTAATAGATTCGTATCAGGCAACTGTGTTGTAAAACGCTTTTCGAAAGTTGAACCAAGAAGAATCTACATAAAGACTTACTTTATATTGAGTAGAGAACGATATTTCTAGTCGACAATATGGCCGCCTCATCGAGATCAGCAACCGTAGGCGAATTGCGTCGAATGTTTTCCAACTTAGATTCAGCTGTAATCGAAACTGTGTTAGCAGCTAATAATGGCCAAGTTGACGTTACAATTGATCATTTACTTACAATGTCAATTGATACTGAAAATGAAAATAATGTTCAACAAGTGAAAAAATTTCAGCTTAACTGTATATATTTAATGATACTTTTAAATGTTATAGGTGACACCAACAACACTACTTCAACAGTTACCAGCTGTTCTTAATGTATACGATGATGATCCACCACCTTGTAAACTATTTTTTCTTACTCCCACATTAGTAAATATTTTATGTATATTCATTCTAGATCCTGGTCATGATACAAAAGGTAGTAATTGTGCATCATCAACAACAACCACCATACCTTTTCTTCCACAACGTTTCTCATCAAATTATCCGTCATCAATAAATCAAAGTCAATTAAAGAATATACATTTTGAAGAAGAGTAAATAACAGATTTAGTTTATAAATAATCATTTTTTTATGTTTTGCATTACTTTTGAAGTGCATATTGTCTACAAGATCTTCAAGTACGAAGATGGAAAACAGCTTATGATCAATATCGTATTTGTTATATTGGGGATTTACCAGACGATTTTCTTCGAGTAAAATTAACATCCAAATTTGAACCAACAAACCAATCGAAGGTATATAATTGTTTTCAATGATTGATCTTATTATTTTAACAATTACAAATAAATAGAAAAATATGCATGGACAACATGATAACGCAGCACGATATATTGAAGATGAACATTTAGAAGAATTTCTTCGAAATGAAGAATTTTTAAATGAACTTCGACGTAATCAAGATTTTATAACAACTCTAAATTCAGGTTTGCTTTTATTTATCTCTTCTTCTATAAAAGAAAAGATGACATGAACATTTAGATCAATCTACTCGATCAACAGCATCGAATCAACAAAATCGATCATTTAATTATTTAAGTACAAAACCATTACCAATGCCAACACCACCAACCGTTGAAACCCCTAAAACGCCAAAAGTTCGCGCAAGAATGCTCCAAAATGCTCTTACACAAATTGAACAAGGACAAACAATAAAAAGTATGAAGAAAATTATTTATTTAATATATTTTTAAAATTGCTTTTCTAATATTAAGCCTCGATGGTTCCACAAGAATCTATCACTCAAAACGAAAGTTATTCTTACGGAAAAGGTATTTGAATAGCATTAAAAAATTCGATTGCTTTCATTTTTGTTATCTTCTCTGAAGATAATCATGACCGAATTCCACTTCCACCTGCACCATCTGCCAGCGAATTCGATCCGTTACGGCCGGAAAGTAATGAAGAATTTATTGCTCGCTTAAAAAATATGGGAAAAAGTAATAAATTTCGATACGAAATAATGTTTAAGAAAAATATTATTATTTTTCAAAAGATTCAATGGACAAATTCAATCAGTTAGCGCGTCGATTTTCTACACGTAAAAATACAACAATAAATCCTGGCAAATACTCGAAACAACCATTGTAAGTTCTTCTTGATGTCAACTAGATCATTATCAAAAATACGTATATCAAAGTCAATTGTTTGATATTAATTCATTGAAAAGAAAGATACAATTCTTTGACATCAAATTTAGCTGTTTAAATTTTGATGCAAATTAGAAATAGTTAGCTGTTCCTTTTATTTTATTTTACGTTCTTAATTTCATCATTGCTAATGTGTAAAAACAATAGATACAGAACGTCAAAATATGATATCAACATGTAGAAGAAAGTGGCAAGACTGCATAGACATAAATGCAACTCGAAAACTAGATGATCAACAATAGTGATCGGAAAACTGCAAAGATAAAGAGGCTGTGTTGTTGTGCATCTCATTGATTTCATACTGTTAAAGCAAAACATTTTTAGAACAAAATTTTTGAGAATAACTTCAGATTAGGAACATGTATTTATTATTCGCTTAACCTAGCTAGTATTGAATTTAATCATGAATGAAATTCTAAATCATTAATAAAATTTCAGTCTTATCAAACTCATGTGTTTGAATAGATCATTATTTATTTTTGATTTATTTAGAATGGCAAACACATCAGAACGACAAATATTAACAAATGAATTCGATAGTGATGATGATCCTATTACATTGAACAACAACAACCCCGTTCGTTTTTTTTCTCCCTAAATATTATTTTCGTTTTTATTTTCATTTTAGAATCGATATCTCACTTCCGTCTAATATCTCATCTCAATTAATTTTTTGCTCTTGTTTTTTGTTGTACTCTACTAACCATACCGTACTATTGTTGTTTTGTTCTGTAGATATTCTCATCTATTTTTATTCATATCTCAGGTTGTAGTAACCTCTTTTTAATTTTTTGTTTAACATTCGAATATCATTCAAATATTTCTGCTTAATTAAACGAGATAAATGACTTCAGAAAGAGAAAAACTAAATGTTTGTTTTCTGTTGAATAGATCGTGTATGCATGCAAGTCAGATTGTAATATGAACAGTTAAATTGAGACGAAAATCAAAAATTTCTTTAGCACTTTTTCTTTGTCTTGCGTTAGAAACTCATTATTTTACTTTTTTTTGTTTTTACGTACTGCGAAGCTTACAATTTTTATTTTTATTTATGAATAAAATAATAATCCTTTCATATGAAATAAAACAAAAAGCTCAAACAATACATAATTGTTTTAGATATTTAACCGAAAAGACAAGAAAATGAATGGTTGCTATTTGACATCTGATGATGAAAAATTCCTTGATTTAATTACTGATGAACTAGACAAATACAATTCATTAAATGATTCGTCCTTGTGTGTGTTCTTAGTTTATTTTTGATATTAGCTAATTCATTTGTTTTAATTTATTTATTGTTTATTTTTTTTGCAGTATTCTTCTTTTCCCATCTTTATCATCTCGACATCGACTATTATTACATCGTCTTCGTGAGAAAACCTATCCAAAGTTATTTAGTTTTTCTGTCGGTGAAGAAAGAACAACTCGTCGTACAATCATTTGTTTCAAATTACACGTTATGGATGAAACGGATACGTAAGAATGCTTTTATATATTTAGTGTGCACGAATCATTTTTTGTTTATTTAATTCCTTGGAAAAGCGTAGGAATCAACTTTTGACATAGTGAACCAATTTTAAATGTAAGAATTCAGATCAAACCATAAAATAACCTTTTCATCTAAGTAGCTCAACACGTACATCTGGAATTTTCGATTAAACTTATTAATCTTTTGTTAGAGCATACGTAATTGATCGTTAGAATTTGGATGAGGTGAAAATCGCATGCGGAGATTTCTTACAATGAACACAGCTTGATAAAAACATGATAGTTCTTATAAATGTGTAGAATGAGGCAGTATGCAATAACGTAGTATATGTCCGAAATATTGTAATACTTTGGCTTGTATAATATTTATAGAATTGAAAAATGAACTCATTGTGGGTAAGTTAATGCATGCATGATAGATTAAAATGGGACTTGTGGGAAAATTAATAAAACGATCTTGTTAAGGAGCATAGCTAAATAGATGACCCATCTCGTGATTGATTGGCCTTTCAAAACTCATCTGGTTGTGTTACAATGACACAAGCATTGAAGCATACGAAGTATTGCTGAGTCATCAATAAAAAGGTGACAGTCCCAGGTTGATGATGAATATCATTATTAAAAACCATGAAAATGACTATTTTGAGATAGATTTACTATAGCAGTACTATTTCAATATTAATCACTTGAAATAAATGGTCGTCTTTAACAATTATATAATGATACTATAACAACTAATCGATCATTCAATGCATGTAAAATGATAGGCGTTCGAGTTGAAAAAGTTTGAATACTAAGATTTCATGTCATAGTTTTCCATAGCATTGAAAAAATAATTGTATACAATGGCCGAGTATTGGGAGTAGACCGTTAAGGTGGAATAAGTTTTACGAGAAAAGCAAAGCTCTTGTGATTTTATTCATGAATCTGAAGCATGAAACTATAGAATATTGGCTTAATCGAGACATCAAATGAATATAAATATGAACCGTTGTTAATACATTTTGTAAATCAAAATTGATAGTTAATTTGTACGTCTGATAACTGTGATTTCTCTGGCAGTGAACTATTCAGCCTATTAAAATATAGCAATCGTGAATATTTCGACTGAGATTTTTCATTCGCTGATTTTCAATAGTTGATCATATTGAACAATTTAAATTGGTAATATTTAAGAGAAAGCAGTTTGACTATCTCATATACTGTTCGAACAAGATTCGATAGGTTTTTGTTTGTAAATAGTTTCATCATAGTAATATGATTTAAAATATTAGAGGTTGAAGCAAATATCCCATATATTCCTCACATGATGTATTGTAATTGGTATCAATTTATTCTAATCATAAAATAGTTGCACCACTATGGACTGCATCTAATTGATTTGAGATAGCACTATGCAAATAGTTTTTCAAAATATTATTTCAGGTATGATATGATAGAGTTGACTTGCAAGTTTTATGAACACGAATATCATTATCATGAACAATAAGTAACGAACCTTGCCTCGATTTCTAGTTTAACTATTTAAAAGTACATTGACATTCGCTAAGCTAGTTGGCACTAATCTAAATGAAAATAACTTTCCATGGTTTCACTCTTCCGTATACTGTTTTTTTTTGTCTCGAAGATGTCATCCATAAACATAGATCAATATGATCATTTTCTCATTGTGTTTGAAGATAATAGTGTGATGAGAAATGTTTTTATTTTGCATGTATGCTAATAGCAAATAGTATAATGTAGAACTAAATTGTTTTTTTTTGATAGTTTACATCATGAATCTTGATTTTAATGCTTGTAAGTAGTTTTAAAGTTCAAGGACAATAATAGATCTCTCTCGAATATTAATACAATCAATGATCTATCATATGCTTGTGTAGGGTATTCAGAATTTTTCTACATAGATTACCATATATTTGAGGAGCTAAATGTTTATCCTTGGATGTGCATCGAATTTTTTTATAATTCAATAACGATCAGAAAGTTCTCACTACAATTACAAGATAGCAATGTAAAATCAACGAATTCTTATTGTTGATTCACAATGTTATAGTCAACAGTAGCGAATAACTGAAGAGAAATTTTCATATTTGTTGTGTAAATATTTTGACTGTTAGAGCTGATCGACTTTAATAATTGATCATCTTTTGATCTTATTCATTTCAAATTTTTGTTGAATAAGTATTTCGGTTTGATTTATATTTTCTTGTTATCTTGGTTTTAAATGTTATTGTTGAATTTGAGATGATGAGAGATATAAAAAAATCTTCACTAATTATTTACATTAAGGGTCTGTCCATCAATATGCCCCCTTAAGTCAATAAGTAACTAATATGATGCACTGCTTAATTCATCTTTAAGATTCACATACTTCTTTTCAAATAATAATGATTTTGATACGTAAAAGTACACTAAACTATGTGATGAAATCTATTTTTTTTTCAATTTCCAGTCTTTTCCTGAAAAATTTATTCACGTCAATACGTTGATTAGATGAAGTATACTTCGCAAAAAAAGAAAGAACTTTTTAATCTTTAAATCTATTGTAAAAATCGAATCAGTTTTGATAAGAAACATTGCATTTCGAAAATAAAAAGTATTTGAAAATATTTCGATTTCTACTTAAGGATAAGAGTTGAACCTTCGAATGCATTTATCCGTTTATTTAGTCTCTCTTTAATAGTATTGTTTTTTTTTCACTGTTTCAGAACGGCATCACCAACGGACGCAATCCACTTGAATGGTGAATCGTCGACCAAGTACTGCTAGTCTTGTTTTTGAATAATAAAAACCTATTTATAGTTGTAGACGTCGTCCGGACAAAGCTTTATATAAACCGCCAACTCGAACTAAAAGTTCTGAAGTTTTCGCTTCTATTTCTACACCATCAACACCACCACCACCACCACCACCACAACCAACACCACCAATTTCGATGGCTTCACCCGGAGATCTTCAACAAAACAATAGTAGAAGCAAAGGAGCAAAAAGTAAAACAGCTCGTCCATCAGCTGAGCCTTATGTACCGCCATCCAGACGCAGCCAACCGGTGACCACAGAAACACTTTCATCTACACCTAGATCATCTGTTATTCAAAGCAAAAAACAAGATGATGGAGCGGAAGAAAAAGAAGATGAAGAAGAAGAAGAAGAAGAAGAGGAGGCGGAGGAGGAGGAGGACTGGGAAAAGTTATTAGAAAACAGTCAAAATCCTCTATATAATGATCTTGTTGAAGAAGTAATATATGCAACAATCTTTTATTCTATTTCAAAGAAAAAAATTTGTTTTTTTTGTATTCCAAAGATTCAATCTAAATTCAAAGACAGTGTTCAGATAGAAAAACCGACTAATGACTATTCTCAATGGTCAGTTGATGATATACAAATAAAAGAAGCAGATCTAGCTCATGTAGTTGAAGTTTCAAATTTCCCGTCAACTTTCCGTACTGAAGATCTTTCAAATTCATTCAAAATACTTACGTATAATTTGTTATATACTACATTTCGAAAATATTTCTGATTTTATTTATAATTGAATACTAGTCGAAATGAATTCGATATAAAATGGGTCGATGAAACGCATGCCCTTATCGTTTTCCCAGATGCTAACACGGGTAAAGATTAATGTTATTATTTTTTGTTTTCTAAACAAATATTATTAATAATTTAGCATTGGATGCACTACAAATGGTACATCCTCTATTAAAAATATGTGCTATGTCTCAAGCCTCATCTGCGTCGAAGAAAAAAGCAAAAAATTCACTTGGTATAAAAATATTAGTTTTCATCTGTTCAATTGATGCATTTTGGTTTTTCTAATACTATAGAATTTCTTCAACCTTATAAAACTCGACCACAAACATCGTCGTTAACAGCTAATCGACGTATATGTGCTGCATTGGGTTTGAAAAATCCAATGAGTAATGATAAAACTAAAACTGAAAGACAAAAAATTGAAACAGCTAGAAGTAAATAAATCGTAATTCTTGTTTTAACTTGAAAAGAAAGCATATTAATATTTTGTTTTTCTAGAACAAAAAATTCGTGACAAAGAAGAACAAAAAACAGTTTGGGATGGTGGCGTTTTACCTGCACCTTCAACAACATAAATTCTTTTTATATTTATTTAATATTTTTTTTGTATCTAATCAAAAAATTTGGTCACAATATGTTCGATTATCTTGTCTTCTTTTTTTTTCTTGTCTTGCTTCCATTCAGACTTTTGCCTATGATGTTTACATATTCGTATTGGTGAGCAAATAAAAAAGAATGGGATTACTTCGAATTTCTAGATTTTTCAATGTCATTTCAACGATCAACTGAATCAATTATAAAACAATTATGTTCAGGAATATTATCGGGTGGTATTATTGGAAAATTGATAAGTAAAGGTCACTATGTTCTAGCATATGTAGCATTTACTTCAATTGGTTTAATTGATATTGCATATCATTTGAATTATTTGAAAGCACATATAACACATTTAACATATGATCAATTAGCAAGTCGCAGAGACATCAGATCTAGATTTAACAACTTCCAACGAAGCGTACAAAGAGAGGTGCTTGATCCAAATGATGGTTTGAATCGCGAAGTGACCTGGCTATGGAATGATGTGAAAAGACACATTGATGGACATATCTATTTTGGAATGGGTTTTACCATGGCATGTTTAGCAAGTGCTGTTCTTTTCTAGAGCATTTGCCGGTGAAAAGTCATCTTATTTTGCGCTAAAGATCAATCGGTGCAATTTGCTATTAGAACTATTGACATATATTATTGTACTATGAAACGTTACTCCAGAAAAATAAAAGAATTTTCTCGACGCATATTATTTATTTTCGTCGAATATTCGATGCACTTCAATTAATCAATAAATAGGTTTCAGTTCCACTGTGGATGATTTTCATTTTATTTCGAATATAATTGATTCCTATACAGGCTTACCAACTAGGGATGGGAGGGGAGGGGAGGGGAGGGGGTAGCTAATCCCTCTCAAAAGTTGAAACGTTCCAGGCTGTCTGCGTGGTTCTCTAATAAATTCTACCAAATGCAGAAACGCAGTGTTCAAGCACTGATTATGACCTTTCATGTAGAAAATCGCAAAGGAACATATTTTGTTAGCAAAATTTCTCAGGGAAATCATTAATTTAACGTTTGTTATTGAGTTTCTATCGAAAAATAAGACAAGGCACTTTCTGCCAAATATTTAATCTCTCCCTCTCTTCAATACAATCGACAACCCTGTTCCTATATTGAAGAATTTTTATGATCTAGGTATGTCAGAGTTATTTGCCTTTCTAAAAATTAAAAATTGAGCATGACTATACAAAGCATAAGTACTTCTTTTTGTAGACTAACATTTGATTGATCTATGCTGTTTTCGTTTTTGTAGATAGATATGGAATGCAATCATTTAGAACATGGTGACCTACTAATGAGTGGAGCTTTATTGGATAGTTTCGTTGATTTACATCGATCACAACTTGAATTATCCGGTGTACCACGAGTATTTTATCCTATTCTATTTGACAAACTTCAAAAACAGGTTAGGAAATAACCAGAACAATGTCTTCAATTCGTTAATGTTTTTTTTTCTTTTAAAATAGATTTTTGATGCTGGTGAATATTTTGGTATAATCGAAGTAGAAAATGATGAAGGTGAAACTGTTCAACGTAAAGTTCGTGTTACTAGTGAATGCAATATTCTCAAAGACGATCCTTCGATGTCAGTTAAAATGAGATTTTGTTTTGCAATGCCTATTTACTTATCATGTGATTTCGTTTTGATTACAGGATCTTTCTTATTGATCATGCTTATACTTATCGAATAAATACAATTCGAAATGAACTAGAGCAATTACCTGAATTAGTCGAACGACTTTCTCGACTAATGTTTATATCGTCCGATGCAGAAAACAAAATTAATGCTATTATTGAACATATGTGGAAGTTTAATCATACATATACATTAGCTGTTGATGGAGGTGATGCTGAAGATCGCGAACCATATTGGTATATTCGAGATGAATTTGGTTCAGCTGTAGAGCATTGTGATCAAGCGAATGTTCGAATGGCACCTTTTCTTTCAATGATCGATGGGCAAATGTATACATTATTATGGCTAATTAAAGATATTGAATGCAATGGTATGTAATGTGTAAGAATATTTTCGAGTTCATAGTTAGAGAAATTATTGATTTGATTTGATTTTTATATAAAATAAAATAATGTATAAATCAAATTTCCATAAAAAATGTTTAGAATCGGTTTCTGTCGATTATGTTTGTGGAACACAGGATGAACTAATCCGACGCGCTAAACTTGTTCCTTGGACTGCCGCTGATCTATCTGATGATATTGATTATCAACAAACAGAGCCAAATGAACAGTATTTTAATGTATATTTGAATTTAGTTTTTATTCGTTCAATCATATTATTATTTAATACTTTTAATACTATATAGACAGGACGAGAAAGTGAAAAGCTTCCGTCATCAGAAACTTATTCTATGGTTGATTTAACTAAACTCAATAGAACAATTAATGTTTTAACTGATGTTGAACTGGTTCGTGATAATCTAGCAGATAAACGTTTTCAATTAGTTGAAGATTTATCTCATGCCGACATTATTTTTACAAGAAAACACTTTAAAGATTTCAAGTAAGTGATAAAACAATATTTTATTTTGTTAATCAGTTCTTTTCTTAGGAATCTATGTGAAAATACTCAACAATTCATTAATCAATATCCATTTGAAAATATAATTAATATAAAAGATCTTTTAGCTATTATTTGTCGTCGAACATCGTCGTCAATTGATAAAGAAACACTGCAATCATATCCATTATGGTTACCAACAACATTCAATTTAACGTATGAATTACCAAAATTGATTTCCTATTTTCAACATCGAGAAAAAAAGTAAGATTTTTTCTTGTTTAAAATAAGTTTTGAAAGAAATCTTCTTTGAAATTGAATCATAGAAATTTAGATAATCATTGGATTGTAAAACCGTTTAATTTAGCACGATCGATTGATACACATGTAACAAAAAATCTTAATTCAATTATTCGATTAGCAGAATCAGGCCCAAAAGTAAAATATTATAGTATTTAGCTTTACTCGAAATGTTTCATTTTTATTTGTTTTTATCTTCTAAAATTAGATTGTTTGCAAATATATTGATAAACCTTTATTATTTCATCGAGAAGAGAGCGGTTTAGTTAAATTTGATATTCGCTATATTGTTTTATTACGTTCATTAGAACCGTTGAAAGTTTATGTTTATGAAAAATTTTGGCTGCGTTTTGCAAACAAGTAAATAATTAGTGAGATATTCTTTTCAGTCTTGATTGGATTTATTATAGACCTTATTCATTAGACAATAATTATGATGATTATCAAGTGCATTTCAGTAAGTCAATAAAAACAATTTTTTCATTGATAAATTTGTTCGTTTCTATAGCTGTAATGAATTATCGGTATGCGCAAAATTTGAAAAAGATTACATGTGAAGAATTTGTGCCTTTATTCGATGAACAACAACAAAATCTTAAGTGGGCTGATGTTCAAGTACAAAAATAAGAACAATAAGATGAAATTAGTCTAATTGTTTTGTTTAATATATTCTAGGAGAATATATTTTCAATGATTCATCAAGTTTTTGAACGTGCAACAATGAGAAAACCACCATGTGGTATGCTACCATGTCATCGATCACGTGCAGTCTATGCTGTGGATTTAATGCTTGATCAAACTGGTCAACCATATTTACTAGAAATGAATTTTATGCCTGATATTGAACGGGCTTGTTCATATTATCCAACATTTATGGATGATATATTTCGTACGCTTTTTCTTGATGAATCAAATAGTAATGTGATCGACATTTCATCGAAATAAAAGAAGATAAAATCATCAAGTCAAACGCGATAATAAAAAGAATTTGTTTTTTTCTATACGTTTTTATGAAACAAAGATAACAAATAATCTGAAAGTCGTTTTTTAATAATCATCGTAGGATAGCAAGTATTATTGTTGAGATAGCAAACAATTGAATTATCCAAGACGAAAACTGCGCTCCCATTTTTCAAATGTAAGACATTTTATAGATGAAATAATCACATAATAAGTATAACTGAGAAGAATTTGTCACAATATCGAACACTTCTTATGTTTCAATTGTTACTTCGTACATTTAAGTAGCTTCTGTATTGGAATTGGTAAGAATAAATTGTTTAATACGGCTGTAACCAAGGAGAAAATATTTGTCTCGATGAAGTTTTTACGACAGTTTTTCATTGAAAACGAATAAATCTTTTAGAAATTTAATAAACAAAGATACATTATACGATGAAAATATAAAACTTTTCAAAAACTACATGCTAGATATGCTATCTAATGAAAAGATTTCGTACCTTGAAAGTTTTCTATTTTCAGAGAGTCTTGATAAAAAGAGATTCAGTAATTTTCTTTTAATTACAAGTTAGTTTAATAGAGACTGCTGTATCGATCAACTTTCAAGTGAGAACTCACATAAGTGTTCATGCTAAACATGCCCATTCTTACAATCAAAACTCACTAAGTATTAGATGATCAGAAACATGCCATAAACAAACTATCTCTCTCTCTCTCTCTCTCTCTCTTTTATCTCAGATAAAGTTCACCAACGTCTAGAAAATCTGTAAAGTCTCGATCTGTAAAGCGACCCAATATCTAGAAATGTTCTTTTTTTTTAAACTCCAATCACTTAATCTTGTTCATTATTCTTATTCTTAAATATTAGATAGAAATCACGATTACATTTATCATTTGATTCTTTTACTCAATGGCTACCTCTATTCATTACATTCAACTTATTAAGCCAATGAAAATTTTGTTATATTCATTTTTTTATCACTCTCTACAGATAAATTATAGATAGAATATTGAGTTTTTCAGTTTTTAATTCTTATAAATTATTTGAGAAATTTCAAAATTAATCTTTCTTAATAAGAGAAGAAGCATTCAGCACTAATTATTTCTTAATTAAGAAGACAACACTTATTAATAACATACGCTAAAGAAAATTACAATAAGATTGTGTCAGGGGAAATAAAGTTGATTGCTATCAAGCCAATTCTTTGCAATGGGAAATAATCAAGAATAGAACTTTTTTCCTCTCTTGGATTTTGTAACATATTTTCTATTGCATAAATCTCGTAGCTAAACTAATTAGAAACATTGGCAATCAAAAGGAGTTAAATTTCACCTAGTCTCTTTAGAGAAACTAATAGAATCGTCGTCTTAACAATTCTCACACTACATTCACCCGTATTAACAGATTGCATGTTGTAGTAGAATGATACTTTTGTTATTTGAACATGAGAAGAAAAACTAGGAAAGATTAATTTTTTCTTTTTTTATGCAAATAATCTAATTCAAATACTTTTAATTTATTTATAATTAAAACGAAATAGATAAAAATCAATGAAACAGACTTTTGAATAGTTTCAAGATAAATTGAGAAATAGATTCTGAATCTCGTCATATCTATTTCTTAGGTAGTATTATACTTTTTTCCATAGAAAATGTTTTTTTTTAAGTCAGATTTGTTCTTTTATGAAGCTGGAGTCAATGAATTGAGATGCTAAGCCATGAAAATACAAACTTGTTTAAATAAATAACTTATATCAACGAATCAGATATTTAGTTATTTTGTTGTTATCCAAATATAAGTCGTCCATCAGTAAGTAATATATTTCGATTGTATACTTCAAATTCTAAGGCATAAGCGCCAAATCCTGTCTGCACATTAACTTCGAGTATGATCGAGACAAATTTGTCTCATCGTATGAATAAAATTGATTCAAAGTGCGATTTAGATGAGGTATCAATATGAACAGTTGCTTGTAAATTTCGTTTCATATTAGTCTACCCAATGGCCAATTGTTTTCTTCACAAGCAATATCTTGCCGTTCAACAACCATTGGTACTTTCAAGAGATTGAAACTTTCAATCGTCTTAATCATGATATGAGAATGATCTTGATTGAGTAATTTTGAAATCTCTATTGCGCATATTCTTTGAACAAGATATGCTTTTTGGAAAAAAAAATAGATTTTTTATTAATTTTCTTTGTACTCGTATTACATACGTCTATATCTTTTAATATTGTTCAATAATGTTTTCATAGCAACAATCAATAATAGTATCCTCACAAGTTGATCGAGTGAAATAACATGCAAAAGATATTTAGGGTTCAATATCTTGTAGTGTTGGAGCGCGTAGAATTGAGTTTCATCATCAAATCATCTTAATCTTTTTTTTTACATTCTGTAGCGCTGTTCAATGCAAATCACCGCAAATCTCAAATGACAAGTATTTTCTAAATATGAAATGAGAGTTGCACTCAGAACTCATCTGATAGATGAAAAAGAAATTGGTGAGATTCTTTGTCTGATTAGTTTGATTTCCGATAAGGAGAATATAAAATGTTGGGTTTTAATTATTATGTGTCGGATGAACAATCTTGATCGCTTTTGATTTTCTCTAAAATTATTCATCTTTCCAGTGTAGATGACATTACACATATATCAATGTAGCCGATTTCCAGCATTTATTCCGAATATACAATTAAAGCTTGAACGCAACGATCAAATCATTGAGAAAATAGGAAACATTGTCAGATCAGCTTTCTTCCAATATATGAACTTTGTAATCAAATTTATCATCGAAAACTCATATAAAGTTAGTTATCTTCTTAATTTCACATAAGCATAACAATAGTACTCTGATGAAATATCGATAAGATCAGAACTGATACAGATTATTGTAACTCATTATTTTTTTTTTGATATTAGCAGGAACCATTTAAGCTGTTTAGTAAAATTGAGTAGAGTCCATATAATTTCAGTACTTATATCTTCTTAAAGGTTTAGCTTGGCCGAGTGATTTTTTCTTTTTTTAATGAGTAAACTACATAATGTGTAGTTTAATCTCTATGTATCTTTCTTTGATACACTTCAACTTCAAATGAAATTAAGATGTCTGTATCGTATTCGTGATAATCGAAATTACTTGTAATAAGATACTCAGAACTGTTTCTGCATTTCGATAAAATAACAATCAATTCGTTTTCTGTTCAGATTTCCATCTTAAATTTATCTGTTTAAGAAGCTTCATTTTATATAGAAAAATCTTACTATATGAATTCTTATCATTTCTCTAAATGTCGAGTGATATTTTAGAGAAAACTTTCCTTTTATTTTGAAAAATAAAATGGCTAGACAACTGCTGTCTGATGAGTAATACGAATAGGTCCACCTTCACAACGTATACTGATCTGTCTATGAGCGTAATTGTTCGGTATCTTCATGAGATTCTTTTTTAATTCATAATTGTTACTAAAAGATTAATTTTAGTCTTCATTCTGTGATCAATTGAAAAAATTGATTTCCTGAATAAGAATGAAAACAATTTTTAAAATCTCATAAAAGATGGGGACGAAACAGAATTCATTTAATCTTCTTTTTATTTTCAAAGTGTAATCTAAATCTGAAATCATTCATTAGCGATCTAATTGTAATTAGAAAGTTTTGGCTCTGCAAATGCTTGGGTTCAAACAGGACCCGAATGGTTGTCGAATCAGAATCTGGATTGAATTCGATTTCATAAAAACATGGTTGGATTTTCACCTGCAATTATGATTGTGGATACGATCGATCTTCACTAAATACTTGATGACTGGTGAGTTATTGATATTGGCTAATCATGTGAGAATTCATTGTACAGAAAGGCGTAATCATTTCAATCTATTGCACCGAATAAAATATATTCCATTATCTGTATTTTAAGTCTGAAACGAACGTAGGCGTTCGACTTTGTCCTTCAATTATTGAATGCAATTATGAAGGAAACATGCTTCGCATTTGATTCATTCCATAATCGATGTAGCTTGTTAAACGATACAGATTGAAGTATTTGGTGTGGAGTAAAAGGGATGGGTCTCATAAGAATGATTTTAGTACACTGTTTCATATTCATTGTCATAACAAAAACAATTAGTCGAGTTTTGAACATCTCAAACTTTTCCCATGACATATTGTTCTACTAACAAGTTTATCTTTCAATCAGCTCAGAGATAAGTAAGTAAAAATTTGAGTTTCATTAAGAAGTCATTGCCATACTGGGAAGTTATCTAGATGACTCAGAAAATAATATCTCCTTTTCATGTAGGAGGTAGCACTTTGCGTAGAAAATATCGATTAAAAGTCAACAAAAAATATATATATATGAATACAAATTCTCACAAGTATTTAAATAAGATGAATGTTATGTGGTCGAACTCTTGTAGAACAACAATTAAGTCATTCTCTATTATTTGAGAAGTTCAATCCATTAAGAAATGAATCCAATATGAATGGAGTCAGACAGATCTTGTTCATGATTACGATTGAGTGAAAGTGTGTCGATTAAGGTATCAAAGTATTTGAAAATTCATGGTTTGAACTGCACATAAGATTAATCCACATTATATTTTGAAAATAAAAAGAAGCTAAAATGCATTATTGTGCACACACCGTTTTCTAATTGATATCTAAAGTGATAAGCGAATATCATCGAATCCAAATTTTTATGCAAATTTATTTATCTGAATGTTTACACGTCGATTTATAATGGTGAGTATACACCATATTATTTATTTGCCTTTTATATAATTGAACATTGTCATCGCAACTTTTCCATAAAATATTCAAATCTTCGGTGAACTGATATTAATCAAATATGACAAGTCTAATAAGTAGATGATACCATATTTTGAAATATTGTTTTTCAAAAGCTTCATCAATATTGGTGCTTCATTTTTGTCAGTAAAAAGTCAAGGATACGAAAAGCATTTGTCGTTAAGTTGACTTGCATATATTCCAAAATAGTCATTATCCTTTAATAAAAGTAATAGTTTCCAGATATTTGCAATTCTTTTCATTCAAAAGATTTTCTAGTTGTGTTTGTGTTACACATGAATGTGTTTCTTTAATGTATTCAACAACAACAAAAAAAAGATTTAATTAATCAATAATTTCATTAAACTTAATTAAAATCGAAGTTAATTGTTGACTATTAAATATGATGTAGATAATGACAATTGAAAGTAGCCTGTATTTCTGTGCTTTTTTTCTGAGAAACGAGGCACATGCCATTTTTAGCATATCATTCAAAGTTCAAGCCAAACTTGATGCACAGCTGTTATTGTAGTTATAAATAGTTTTAGAATGAAAAAAGAGAAAAAGAAAAATGAACACTTTTTCTTTTAATAGAAAAATTGTAAGAGATTTCAGGTATTTTAGTGATTATAGTTATGTAAATGCGAAGAATTTTGCAGAAATATAGTATTAAACGCGTCGTTGAAACGAGCTTCAATTTAGTATGCGGTTTGTTTTTACACTAATAGTTAATATAAATAAATATGACGAACTAGATATATGTTTTGATAAAATTTTCGATCATAAAGTATAGTATTAGAAAAATATTGACAACAGAATAACACGGATTTGTTTTCATTTATAAATAACTAATTATAGCAGATGTTTTTTTCTTCGCCATTAATTAAGATATAACTGGCACTGTTAATGATGCAGAAAAGTGAGCTCCTAGCTTAATCATTACGGCTTGAAGCAACAACATATTCGGTACAAGTCAATTTTGTGCTTTTTATTCAGTTCTTACACTTTACTGTGAAGTATGTCCATCATTTGATATATTCCTATTATTTTTGCTCGATAAGGTCAAGAATGACTTTTATTTATATTTCGTTTGTTTTGTATCTTGTTATTTTCAGATGGTTAGATCTGATAAGAAATAAATTGTATAGAAAATCGGAAGATTTTATACAAAAAAAACACAAACTACGGTAATTGGAATATTATATCTGTATTGAACCGATGAAGCCAATGCTTAGAGCCAATTTCTCTTAATTATGAATACAATATCAGTTATATCTTAATTATCACTGGAGAAAAAGCATGCTGTGTATATATATTTATAGATATTTGGAAGCAAAAATAAACAGTATTATTTAGAGATCGATAGTGCATCTAACAGTAAACTTTCAGATTATAAATTATAACAAATTATTTATCTATCTAGTATTTAACTTCAATCATTAAGCAGTAATATTTATTTAACATGAATGATGATTTCAAAACAGTAGCCTGTGACCGAATATATCCCATTCGATTCTTGATCTAATGATATACTTTTGGGTAGTACCACTATTTTCCCGTAAGGATATAATTACTACAATACTTAATGTTTCTTAAATTTTTGCCAATCAAAGAAAAGTTAAAAGGCTTTCTTCTTCATCTTAAAACCAGTTAGATGTAAAATAGATTCTAATTTGTAAGCTACAAATATAAATTTATATATTATGTTAAATAGCTCTGTTATGTTCGTTGTTTCTTGTCAAAGTCAACATAGCAGTAAAGTTTCTCCAGTCATCAATGCTTACATTTTCCTTGATATGTTCACTTTTAAAAAGTTGTCCAGTCACTATTGTACAGAGTTAATAACCTAGTCAAGATTAGATTATAATTATATTTTGTCATTTGTTCTTGAAATCATTAATTTTTAGAAATAGAATCGAATCTCTTCCATTATTCTAATGTGGTATAATCTAGTTACTTAATGGCATGCTTTAAACTTTTATCTATGTATTTGTGCACAGACGAATTCAATTAGATTCCGTCAAATTATTTTTCTTTTATTAACAACTATTCGATCACCGGGCGTGTCACCGATCTATGGGCTCTAATGGAATTAGAGAAAAGAGTTCATAGATATATTTAATTCTGATCTATTTGAATATAATCATCACTAGTCCTTATTTCAATCTACACACAAAATAGAAATCAGTCTCTTTCTTCCTTTCTGCTAATAAAATTTAATAAAAAAAAAATGAAATTCATTCTACTATGTTTCACCACTTTTGCATTATATATTTTTTCATAATCATATTTCACCAGTTGCCGTTGATCATATGCTTAAGAGAGAGTCCACGAGGCGATCGAGGATTGGAAGCACTCGATAAAAATTACATTTTTGATTTCATTAGCGCATTCGAAAGTTCCATGTGCGAAACCAGTAACCTGAAAATTTTAGCGTCTAATACCGTTCCTATGAAAATTTACGTAAGGACGACTTTGAGTACGGTTGTATTTTTTCGAGAAAAAAAACAGTGAAAATTGCTCGTTTCATTTATGTCTGTTTGTGTTTCAACAGATCATCCAAATCTTTAAAGGAATGCGTTAAAAGATAGGTCATTCTGAGCTGGAAAAGGATAGATTTAAAGTTTTGTATATCAGTTACTTTTTCGGACTATTCAGTGCAACAAGTATGGGCACTGACAAAATTTTTCAATTTTTCACGACTGTTTTTTTACAATATATTTGATCCTATCTCTTCAATTTAAGCGAGTCTAAGCATTTTTTGCATAGGTTTGCAGAACTTTTGATTCTGCACAAAATCATGGAAACATATTCAAAAAATGAGAGTATACTGGTATCTAAAAATAAAATTGCCTAGCATTGCTTCTCACCTAGTCAATACGCCATTGAAAAACAACATCTAACGAGAGAAGGCCACCAACTGTTCAATCGCTTTTTACGTTGAAGCTATTCTCATTATGCAGCTCCCAAGGAGTTATGGATACGCTGAAAATATTTTGGGCGAATAGCTTGTTGTTACGAAAATAGTCCATTTGTGAGTTATGGTTTTTAGTGAGTGCCGGAACTCCCCTCCCCTCAGGAACCTTGAAAAAAATTGATTTTCGAATTTCAACTTGAAAATTTACATAGAAATACACCGGAACGAGAAGTCGTCCTTACGTAAATTTTNCGTCCTTACGTAAATTTTCATAGGAACGGTATTAGACGCTAAAATTTTCAGGTTACTGGTTTCGCACATGGAACTTTCGAATGCGCTAATGAAATCAAAAATGTAATTTTTATCGAGTGCTTCGTATGCGGAGGACATCCTCTATGCTCTGATGTGCTCTCTCTTAATTGACAAAACCAATTCTATCTTCACGTATCTCTTTGCGACAATAAAATACTTATCGAGTACATTACTATTTTTGTGCATTTCCTACCGAAATGAACAACATCTACCTTCATATCATTACAAAACGAGTAATAGATATATATCGATGTTGTTTTTCTAATGTTCGTAGACGATAATTGGAAGAGTTCATAGAAAAATATTCAATAGAAAAATAGATTAGATTTTTTCCTTTTGTTAACATAAATTGATCGATTTGCTAAGAAAAGTCTAAAAGCACACGATTTGCAAATAGAACAATCCTAACCAATCTTTCGGAATCTCCCTGAAAAACAACTCTCGTTTGTTATACTCAGATCATTTTGTCGAAGATATAATTAGAAGAGGAAATATGTACGAGTGCATTTCCTTTAACTAATTCCATTTTCTTTCAGTAAATATAAGTTACAATTACTTTTAACATCGTCTCAAAAGAATATCTATCCAATTAGAAGGAAAAAAAGATGCTTTTAGTTTCGTTCGGTCCCACATCAATATGTATTGAAGCAAAAACAACATGCAAGTGTTTTTATATCGTTGACGTTGAAAGTATGTACTCCTCATTCTATTTTTTCTGGTTTGTCGCGTCTTGATCGTGCGCATCAATCTTCGAGAAAAAAAGCGAGAGAAAAAAATCGAAATAATACGATCTTGCGGTACAATAGAAATGAAGAGAAACTCTCCTATTTCCTGTTTTACTCTCTCCTCCTTCTCGTTTTGTCAATCTCGAATGTTGATCGGAAAACGAGAACGAGAGAGAGAGAAAGAAGAGAGAACATTTTCAGAGACGAAGGTTCACAATATATAAATAGAGGGACGAGACCGACTAACGATTGCATCACATACAACAAGTTTCTTTTTATCCCAAAAATACTAGAATGACTACTACCAATATGTCAATGATGATTGTCGCTCTGGTTATCACTACAATGTGTCTATTAATTGCCAACGGCGAAGAGGGAAAAGTGAGTACTCATTGTCGTAGGAGCTAACAGTTCTTTTTATCAACATGAAACATCATTTTTGAGGCTGACTGCTGACAAACAATAGGTACTTTCGTTCTTTTATTAAACGTTAAAAAATACAGACAGGAAATGATCACCCAAGGCGTTACTTTCTCATTTTGATACAGTCTGATTGGATTTGGCAATATTAGAAAAGAATACATCCTAAATAATACTATGAGTCATTGTTTTGCGGATATTTTGTTTACTTAGAAAAAGAATCAACGAATTAAATTGCATGCTTAAATTTTATTTTAATATTAAGTAATATTTATTACGAGAATCATTATCGTACATTCAGGAGTTGAATAAGAAAAACAATGAATAGATATTATCATTCAATGATGGATCAATCGCAACATTAAAGCACTTGCATTTTTATTTAAAAATAATTTTGTTAGCCATATTCAAAGATTTTCCATTTTAATATTTTTAATTTCTTCTCCGATGATCTATTTATTAATGATAGACATACTCTGTTTAGAACTATCTTGAATTATTGATAAATGGTATATCTATATTCTTTTTTTTAGAAACGCACTCTTGATTCTTTATCTGGTTCGGATTTTTTCAAAAAGGTAATTTTATTTTAATGAACTCAGTTTTTGATAGATCTTATTTTTAATTTTCTAGAGTCTTGATAGTCTATCAGGCAATGATTTTTTCAAACGCGAGGATGAAGTAAATAGTCTCATTAGTTTTTTATTCTTCTTAATTTTTATTATATTTTGATTGTGTAGAAACGAACACTTGATTCTTTATCTGGTTCTGATTTCTTCAAAAAGGTAAAAGAAAATATTCTAAAACAAAACTGATTCTGCAAATTTACTTTTTCTTATTTGTAGAGTCTTGATTCACTTTCCGGCAATGATTTTTTTAAACGAGATGACGAAGTAAATATTTCCCTTTGAAATTAATTATTTAAGTCTCATTTTATTGTTATGATAGAAACGTACATTAGATTCACTGTCAGGCTCTGATTTCTTTAAAAAGGTTTGGTTTTGTTTTTGATCTTTTTTTACGTTTTCTGTTGGTCGATTTACTTTTAGAGCTTAGATTCATTGTCTGGTAATGATTTCTTCAAGAAGGTATTCATTTCAACAAATTAGCTTAATATATTTTCTTTACAATGTTTATTTTCTAGAGTTTGGATTCATTGAGTGGAAATGACTTTTTTAAACGTAGTACCAAGGCACGAGAATATGCTATTGCAGAACTACTTCGACATTCTCTTTATCCTCATATGACGCGTGAACACTTTCGTACTCGTTTTAATAAACAAAAAAATTGACTACGATAAAGATAAATTGAAGAACTCTTTTATTTGAAAAATAAAATATAGCAAAAAATAACATGTTCCTTGAATGAAGAATATTCTGTGAAATTTATCGTTTATCTCAATGTAATCTCGTACTATCCATCAATATTTTTTGACAAATAATTTAATAAAAATGAAAGATAACTAATCATTTTTTTAAATTGCATAGAAAATCAGAACAAACTGATATACTCTGTTAGTTATTGTTCACATTTGTTTGTCATATCGAAATTTGTAGATTATACCAATTATTCATCTCAATTGTCATTGTTCGCAAGAAGAATCTGTTTAGAATGAAAAACAATTGCTTGTTTTAACTTTTCTTTGAGTAAAGCAACAGTTTTGCTTTATATCAGTTGTTATTTGGAAAATATTATATAAAACAAAGTAAATCTTCAAAATGATTAGATTCATCAATATTTTATAAATCATTGCAGAAGAATAGAATTACTTTGTTTTATTTTGACAATTTTTCGATTATAGATTTTTGAAACCGAGTACAAATTCGATTGAATATGACACTTGTATTGCATAGGTAATTTTGTATTTTCAACAAATTCTATATGTAGTGAAATTTCTATAAGACTTTAGAGTCTTCGTCTAATTCGAAAAGAAGCTAAAACAAAATCATATTTACTACTAGTGGCGCGTTGCTTTTATTTAATAAAGAACATGCTGTTATTGAAATATAACAAATAGATGAGATAATCAGATATATTTTTATTTCACATAAGGCAAAACCTTTTTATCGTGTTTATTGACCTAGAAAACTTATGTAATTATTTGTAATAGAATTCAAACATGAAATTATTCGAAAAATGTAGTCATGAGCCAAACAGAACAATAGGTGATTTCCCAAGGGAAAATCTCATCATTGTTTTTATTCCAATTGAGAAAAAATAAACATGTCTTTTTTATTGAGTGATTTTCACTATGACAAAAGATTGCTTTTAATATCAATAATCTAAATGAAGTTTGATATTGATATATTCATTTTAATTTCAATCAGTGAATGCTAACCAAGAATCAGTAAAAGGTTAGTGAGCAATGTTCCTTTCATTGGTTTTTGAATGGAAAGCCGATATAACTATCAAAAATAAAATGACCACTAAACCTGTGTAAGACTAAATGTAGTTGTAAGTATATTATCTACTGGCTTTGTAAAAAATAAGAGCTAGAGAACATAACTTGTAATAGTGTTTACCAATGAAAAATCGACCGGAAATATTTATGTATTTCGAATATAGGCAATATTTCTATGCTAATCAATCAATCAATTCATACAACTGGCTTTTGAAGCACATATGTAGCAAGAGGAATTCTTTCTACTGACTATAAACTGATTCCACTCGCCAGTGTAGATTTTTAAAATGGCTTGCGTTATGAACCGAGATATCAATTATGTTAATTACAACATATTTCCAAAGTTCTAGTTAGCCGATTTATCAAAGTTAGAATATAAATCAGTATAATTTACTTAATTTGTTTAACATAATAGATAAAGAATATACGTGTAGTACACATATTTTAATAAAAAAAAGACTCAACATTTATGAAGTTTTTCTCCGTAAATTGTTTTATGTATTCGTTTGACAGCTATGATTCTTTTTACTTAACCATCGGATTTGTATTAGACTTACGATTATTCGCTGTGAACCATCGAGTATTTCTGTAATTTAAACGGCTAGAACGAATGCATGCAAGTTGAAACTACTGATTATTGAAAATATAGATAACAAATAACTATAACTTTTATTTACGGTCGTTTCATAGAAAGTTCAAAAGAAACAGAGTTGATCAATCTGAAGGTTCAATATACCAAACTTCATTAAGATAAACCGCAGTTTCAACTGGTTACCACAACTATAATTGTGAGCAGTGTTCAAAGCCAAATCCGATATAAATGCTAATGAGCATAACTCTCAATGTGGCGACAGACTTAAAACGAACTAAAACTATCATATGTATCTATGCACATCAATAAGATATGATTACACTAAGTATAAACTTATCATCATCTACTTATTCCTCTTAAAGAATCTAAAAGGCATGTTTCTGAGTCTCTATTCTGTAAAAAATGAGAGGCGTATTTTAAAATCGGTTTAAACAATCTATTGTTCTATGATATATTTTCTATCTTGAACTTCTTCGAAAGCCATTTTTATGATCATGTCATCTTGACTGGTGTATGGCGAATCCTTATAATCAATTACAAGTGCATCATAATCAGTAATTTTTTTCTCAGCTAGAATATCAGAGTATATGGCTTTTGCTCAATTAATAACCATTTGATGAGGAGTTATTTAAGGAATCTATCGTCACCTCTCTCATCTACTTTTGACTTGGTGAATTATGACTGACATGAAAAAGTATCGACTTGAGAAAATAGTGAAACGAGAATCTATCAAATGGCAATGAAACAAGATTAAATTGAATCAGAAGACGCTTCTTGTAAATATTTAAGAGCAAAGACAGAACAACATAATGTCCCAAATTAGTGCTGAAATAATACATATAATTGTAAAAATGTTTTCATTTAAAAAAATCAATAAAAACCAAAAATGAAAAAAATTAGAATGCCCTTTATTCAAGATCGGAAACACCTCGAAGAACGATTATTATTCTTTTAAAATATTTGTTTTGCTCTTCTATTACTTCAATATACTGATTATTATTTCTGCTTACTTATTCACGCACGATCAAAAATATTTTTCCGAATTAAAAACTTAGTCAACAATACAAATCTAACATCAAGTCACTATTAACACAGTAAAAACCTAATTTAACTTTGAATATATTTTCTTACAAAAGTTGTCGGCTAACTTTATGATTTGATTCATCGTCCAATATTATTTTCTTTTCATAGTGCCGAATGAGTCCTTTTCGAACCAGCATTCTTCAAAATTGGTTACTGAAAATTTACTTTTCAAAATATACGTATAATATTCATTGTTGAGATATATCTGGCAGTAGCATGCCATCTCTGTCGGAATATTTCGATACAATGTTGCCACTATTCATTGCTTCGAAAAACAAGTGTCACATGAGTTTCATTAACTAAAATGGACATTTTAATGTACCGGTTCGCATAAAAATAACTTTCAATCCCAATTATGCCATCAAGTTGATGAAAAAAAATCAGTTTTATTCAATGATATTAAAATGTATTCATTTTGTTGCCTGCTTCATTATTCGAAAGCAAATTATTTTTCAAGCTCTATATAGCCTTAGATCTACTGCGATACTTGAACTATGTATACAAAAAGACTGAGGCTGCAAATGAATAATAATAGTGAAGAACACTCATGAAGAAATTTTTAAAATGCAGATTTTTCTGAAATAAAAAACAAACTTCACAATGGATGCAGTTTTATCTATTTCGCCAAACACATTGACGAAATTGTAACAATCATTATATTTATCCTAATGAATCTGCCGAAAAGGTGTAGTACAATAATCATGTTGAATTGATTGATTGATATCCATAAGTCAAGTTGTGATTAATGGACTTCCTAACCTACGGCTACATCAGTCAGTAAAATGATTACTGAGCTCGAAAATAATGTCATATTTGAAATTAAATACAGGATTGCACGAAGGATCAAAGATTAGGGTTTGTTTTCAAAAACATCTTGCAGACAAAGCGTAAAATGTAGACAAAATCTAATGTTTTGGTGCAGAAAGCGGAAACTTTGTTTTTTATTTGGGTGTTTACAACTCCGTCCTCGTCATCTGTGTCTCCCCTGAATGAATGTCAAACATTAATATTAACAGCGTTGAAAAACCTGAAAAATAAACATGATTCCAGTAATAGATTTGCATTAATAAGTAACAATGGAATTCTAATTTATTATTAACATTATATCTGATACATTGATGCAGTACAATAAATGTCGTGCATAAAATGTGTTTCAAATAAGAGAACTTCGTTTATTGCGGAGTTAATCCCAGAAAAAAACGATTTTATTCGATGTTGATTTTAAAAACAAAGGTAATGATTTTATCTCTGATTTTTGATAGTAGGCTCTGTTAACAGTTCTCAGCAGGCTACATGCTGATCAACCTTTTGATGATCGTCAATTTTATTTTAATGATTCTTATTGTAATCAGTTTTATTTTGTATAATATTGTAATTCATTAGCAATTGTGCTCATTATCTTTATTGGACTCGTTGATTGTAAAGAAATAGATTATTATAATGTTGGGAAATCATATTTTAACTCCAAATCACGATTCTAGAACCAATTTTTTTGATTCTAATTTCTTCAATACTTTCCATTACAGCTTTATTCTAATAATAAGAAACTCCAACATGTTTTTTCGATTTCTACAGATCCTTATTGATTTTTATGTTTGATATTAATGAGAAAAGCTCTCCAATTTTTTTTGTTACAAATCATTGGTAAATCTATAAATTCTGCTCCAATGCCGAACATATGAAGAATAAGTTTTTTTAAACTTTAAAAGAAAGAATATTATTATATGATTTACTGGCGTAGTTTCCCGACATTCATCCGGGAAAAAAGAATTTTCACAATCACGATGACTTCGACCTTGTCGTAATTGGAGTCCGATGCAAAGTTCTATCACTGATGCACGATACCAGTTGTACTTGATTAAGAGATGTCACGCATCAAGTTAATTATACAATATTTCTATATGGACTTTTCGATTTTAATACATTGCTTGAATCACATATAGTCTTCTATTTTCTTTTTTAAGCTGTAAATTCGGCTGATTGAATTTTCGTTTTTGTGTACTCAAAAAGTGAGTACACTACTAAAATCGGTCAGTGTGTCCGTCCG